GAGCGACAGACATATTTATCTTTAGGAACTGACAATTATCCCAAGTCCTTAATGCGTAAGCCACATAAGGAAAATCAGCATGATTGTTTTTTTTTTTTTTTTTTTTTTTTATTTTAGCTCTGAAAATTCTTTTTGACCATTCGCTGCTCGACGTCAAGACGTTTTTTTTAATAATAACCCTTAAAAAGATATATAGGGGTGAGGCAAGAAAGTTATCATTATCTCATGAATTTAAATTTGCTGTTAATTTAAATATTCAAACCTAAATTTCCTGTTGAAACGAATTTTTCTCCATGTTGAATAAAATTCATTGTCGAGCCTGTCAGGCACGGTCAGATCTACTTTCTTACTTCAATCCTTGAAATCGTTAAGTGTTATATTTTTTCCGATTGGCAGATCAAAGCGTTTTTTCGCGACATTATTTTTTTAGAGTTGAATGGTCTTTCAAGGGTTAAATTGTCGTCATTTTCATGAAACTACTACATCAATAGACACTAATATTTTTACCTGTGCACTCCTGTTTGTATCCGAGCAAATTAAAAAAATTGCACGAGTTCCGTAAACAGGCGGTTCCTTGTTTGTTTGAGCTCGTTAAAAAATTTATTCGGATACTCAGGTGACCGAGAGCCGACGTTAATCAGTTAAATACTCAGCTAAAAATAAAATATTTATTGCCCTCAGCTATAGTCAACCAATTCATCTTAATTTCCCTCGCGCGGTATTTTCTTCTACAGTCAACCAGTCAACCAGTTCATCCTTATAATGTCTCCGGTTTACGCGCTTATGATTTTCTGATTTTCTTCCAAAGTTGACTGCAAAGCTTTTCACTTCACTTTTGTGACGGCATCTGTCAGTGAAAAATTTTAAGTGAAGGTGAGTGTTTTTACGAGGAATTGTTGTTAATGTATCTCCGGCCCATAACCGATCTTTTAGAAACTGACGTCAACCTTCTATGTTCACCTTCTTACTGTTCTTCTCTAACTACTAACCAATTGTTTTTGTTTTGTTTTGTTTTTTTAATTATTTCTAAAGGTAGACAAGCAACAGCAAGAAAACAGGATTTAAAAGTGTTAGGCGAAGAGAAAAGAAACCATGACACTTTCTTCATCCGAATGCATCACCTGGCTTGCTGTATTCCTCACAGTGTCTGCTACTATAGTAACGGTGAACCTCCTAACAATCGTACTTTTTATAAAAAACGGCAGTCTTCGCACTCGTGCCATGTACCTAGTTATAAACCTGACCGTAGCTGATATGTTTGTCGGAGGATTTTCTAACTTTTATCTATTTGCCGGCCTAGACTTCATTTGCGAGATTGTTAAAATGAACTTATCCCTGCATCTGGTACGTATAGCTGAATTTCTCATCTATTGGCCATCTCTGACTTCTCTAACAAACATTGCAGCAATTTCATTCGATCGAATGTATGCAACAATTTGTCCCTTCAGGTATCGTGTCGTCAAAAAGTGGGTCTACGGGGTAACAATTGCTGGTGTCTGGGTTTTAGCTGCAATAATATCAACCGCCTCCGCATTACTTGCAGAATATTGGGGAAAATGGTCGTACCATATTTACCTGTGGCAATCATGGTGTTGCTTGTGTCTAATTGTTATCTGTGTTTCTTACTCCTCCATTGCTGTTAAATTTTTGTGTGGAGCGCATCCTCAGCACCATGGTGCAGCAAGCAGACAAAGGAAGCTGACCGTAACATTATTCATAATGACTATCGTTTCCTTACTAATGTGGTTACCACATGCCGCTATTGCTATTTTTATTCATTCTAGCGCTAGCAGCTGGATGTCCCGCCTTTCTCCCGAGGAATCATTTCGTTTGAATTATTCTTTAAAGGTTCTATTTGTCATGAACTCGCTTGTTAATCCCATCGTTTACGCAATCAGAATTCTAGAGTTCAGGAAGGTCTCCCTGGCATTACTTAAATGTCAACAAGGACGAAACGCCAATGTTTTTCATCTTCACGCCCGTTAAAGTGCCTTGTTAATTAGTTTCTTTAATGGAATTACGATAATTTCAAGGCAACTAAGAAGAAAGTTTATGATTAATGACCTTTCTCTTCTTTAAAAAAAATAGTACAGTCATCGGCAGCTCATTGTGTACCATAGTTTTAATGTTAACCTTAGTTCAGTAAAAAGACTGTAAATATATGCTGTAGTTACACTTCTTTTTTGTTTTAAGACCTTTTAATACATGACCATACCACAAAAGCACTGAAAAGAAAATTTAAACAAATGATAAAATGAAACCACAACATATATATACATGGTACAGATAACACAACTGGTAAATATAGGCTAGTTTTTTTTACCTTTACCTTATATTCACGAGCCATATACTTCTTGATATAAAAGGAATCTTTTACATTTTCCTGTTTTAGAATTAGTCATTATTATACAAAGCTTCAGTGTAAGTAATTTATTATTTTTTAAT